TTAGAATAATTTTTCATATTTTAATACATACTTACATGTTGCAGTTCAGAAGCTATGACTCCGTTGAGAGTGTCAAAACATAAATTTCCAAGGTTCCATTTCAAAACACAAATAACAATATGAGTAAAATTTTTAAAAAGAAATTTAACTTAAAGGTTTACCTTGAAAGATTTNATTACAGCTTAAGACTCTAATTTCAGGTGTTTCAACTTGCAGCTCTGGGGTATCTGACATGATCTTTAAACTCAGAATTGTCCTATTTCCTGGCATTCCAGGAACATGGGAATGTTGCTTTCTGATTTCAAAGCATTATCTGTGACTCTTCAAAACACAAATAAAGAATGAGACAAACATTTGCAAGAGGTTAAGAAAAGGAAAAGTGTCTTCCTCCATAGTTCTCCAACTGCTCCCAAAACAAAGGAGGAAAATGACTACACTAATGACAGTCTAACACATCCTAATGGGAAAAATTCAATTACATAGTTTCAAGTTATTGGGTTCAAAGAAAATATTTAACGTGATAAAATTATATTTTTTTACAAATTATAAGTCCATAAGCCAAGGCTGCAGAGGATCTAAGTTGAACAAGTAACAAATAACTAAAATGCTGTGTAAACCTAAGATTTCAAAGCATTTACATGATAAAAGAGTTTTTTAAATAAAGTCAATGTACAAATTCCTCAGCAAAGTGAAAAAAGCCAGGCTGATTTCAAACTGATATATAAGAAAAAAAAAGAAAGAAAGAAGTTAAGGCCTGATACTGATGTACCTGCTTTTGATAACTTCTTTTCCAAACAGTATACAAGATATATAAGAACTTTAAGAAAAACATATCCATTCTCTTTCTTCTTTCATTTCTCTGATCAAAAGGGACACTTAATGGAAATAACTACCTAAGAATAAGCACACTGAATGATTTACTTCCTCACTTACATTCTCCAGGTTTTTCTTGCCCAAGTTCGTACTTTCTAGGTTTCCTTCATTTGGCTACCTTTCCTCTGCTTCAAAATTATTATGGTATTTAACTTATTCTATGACGTCGTTACGAAAAGCATAAGGGCTGGTGATTTCTTTCTCATCTTAAGGCTCATTCACATTTTCCTCAACACATATAATAAAAGGAACAATATGAGTTCGAGTTTTCTGAGAACTTACCATGTGCAGGGCAACTGAACATGCCACGAGTATTACCCTTGCTTGGTCCTCAAAACAATCCTGGAGAGATTCTATTATTATCCTGCCTACAGGTGAAGGGGCAGGACAACCTAGTTAAGAAACACACCTGAGTTGACACTGCAAGCTCTGGGAGTGGAATGCTGTCAGCCTGGCCCCAAAGCCCACATTCTAGCCCACTAGATATGGCTTACATACATTTAGACAACCAACTTTATGTAAAATCATTATATGAATTATGCCTCGTTTTTTTAAATTTTAAAATCAACCCCCCTGTGGGATAGTTAACACATCAAACTGATAATAGCACCTTACTATGACCATGAACTGGCAGTTTATCAGGCTGTTTTGTTTGTTGATATGAGAATTAGGAACAGCAAAAGCTCACATGGTTTCTGGTAAGAAACGGAATCAAATGAGGAAGAAAAAGTGATCAGAGTCTGGCGATACCACCCCTTTGAGGCTCTGGTGGCTAGGAAGCCAAAGCCATTAGACACTAGCATCTACTCTAGGCTACTTAAAAGCGGCTTCCTCTTCTCCTTAATCTTCCCAAAGCTTGAAAAAAACAACACTGATTAATAAGAAATT